TTATTGCTAGCCAAGGTTAAGCCACGACAGGGAGTTAAGCTCAGCCAGTTGGGTATGTTAGCATGGCTGCATTGGACCCCCGTCACTGTGGTAGAAAGGAAGGGAGACGTCTCGCTCAGGAGTGAGGTTTGGCCCTGCTCTTCAGGTGACACTCAGCGATTGCCTTTGCTTTTCTCTCTCTTTCAGCTATTTGACGGCCACTTTGATACTAAAATAGGCCCCAAGGTAGAAAGTGAGAGCTACAGAAGGATCGCTGCCAGTATTGGGTGCGCCACCAACAACATCCTCTTCCTGACGGATGTCACTCGAGGTAGGTGATGTGCCAGTCCTGCTGGCTCTCGCATGTGCAAGGGAGGCAGGGGCTCTTTAAATGCATGCTGGCTTGGCACAAGCACTCCAGAGACGTTGCAGACCACCTTGCTTCGGTGGCATCCCCCCAGCAGCTGCCATGCTCTTTCCTTACGCATCCAGGCGCTCGCACAGCAGTGGGCAATCTGTAAGCAGTGCTGCAGTGAGGGAAAATAGGTCAAGTAGAAAACCTGCCCTTGCACCAGCAAGCAAGGAGGGCCTGTTAAAGCGGAGTGGAGCATTTGCTGAAGCAGTTGGCATGCCCCATTTATAAACAGGGTCAGTGGTTTCGTGACCTGTGCTCGGGGGAACAGACGGTGTCTGCTGTGCTGCCACGTGGCACACAGTGGCTGGTTCTTTGTGCCACTTACCGTTAGGTTGTGTTCAGCGGCAGGAAAACGTTGCTTCTAGTCTCCAAGACTTGATCCCTGGAAAGCCAGGCTCAGGAAGATAATTTAATTTCCTGCCTTTGCTGGAAATGTCTTTCTGGCAGGAATGGCACTGGGTTGTGATCTCAGTCTAAGCCAGCTCAGGCCCCAGGAGTTAACCCTTACCTTCTCCCCAGCCCTGGCAGCAGAGCTGGTGGGAGCTTGCAGTTACCTCCTTTGCCCTCTCTCATCTTCCTGTGGCCTCCTGCTGCGCTCCAGGAGTGAAGGAAGTTTGTGAGAAGTAACTCCCGTCAGGGAGGTGTTGGACTCGCTAATGCCACAGCCCCAACACAGCCCAACTTCTGTGTGACGGGAATCGAGCTGACGGTGCGTGCCACCTGCACAGTGCCTTGGACAGCCGTCAGCCGTGAGAGGGAAGGAGATGGCGAGGCAGCCAGCTCCCATCCCCTCACATCATGCAGCAGCTATGGTCATCCTCAGGTCTGCCGGAAGCCGGTCCCTCTCTAGAGCCTTGCAGCACCACATGCAAATGCTGTTCTCAGTCTCAACCTTTAGAAGCACCCGCAGTGTTCTGGTGCATCCTTCAGCCTTAAAGACCCCCGTGGAGAGGTCGGTAAGCACATCTCATCTCCACTCTCCCGATCTGTGTTCGTTTCAGAAGCCAACGCGGCCGAGGAAGCAGATACTCACGTGGCTGTGGTGATCAGACCAGGCAACGCAGGACTGACAGACGATGAGAAATCATATTACAGCCTCATCTCATCTTTCACTGAACTCTTCCTACCTTCCTCCACTTAGGGAGAGTGGTGCACGCACAGAAGGCTGTGCTTCGCCTGAATTGTCCTTGTGTAACTTTAGGTAATTTTGTCCATAATCAGAATTTAAAACCAAAACACAATCATTTCTTGAACCCATGACTGGTGCAGGCAGGTATGGATGGAGAGTATGGTGTGGGGTCCCTTGTGCAGAGTGCTGCAGCAGTCAGCTGGTGCTGGGAACAGGGTGAGGAGCAGCACCCCTGAGTCCTGCTGTTCCTGCCCTCTCCCAGCTAGCAGTCAGCTCAGGGGAGTCCTTCAGACTCGCCCATTGAAATCTGGTGCTGAGACACCCCACCACGAGCTCCATCATTTTTAGAAACAGTCTCTGAACAAGGTGTACTTTCCCCCATCCCAGAGGGTGCACCAGGGATCGTGAGGGGATATGAGCTTCTCCCTGCAGATGGGGTTGCTGGCTAAGTCAAAACTTTCAGAGTTAGTGGGGTTAGGATGCCCAAAGGAAAATGCCAAATGTGAGCTATAATGCTGTAGGTTTGGGCTGCCATGGAAAAAGCCAGCCCTTGCTGCAGGCAAGCTCTTTAGACCAGGAACAGTTTAAATCTTGGTCATATCCACAGCAGGTCTAGGTACAAAACAGTCAAACTTGCATGTGGAAGCAGTTTAGCAATACACAGCCAGCCTACCAGAATGAAGTGTATATAAATAATAGCTTCAAAAATCAAATTCTAGGCCCACCTCACCGCTGCATCGTGGTGCTGGGCTGTGGGATCCAACTGGCTGAGCACCGAGGCCAGCTTGAGCGTGTTTCAAAGCCTCTCTGTTAGCACTAACCCACAGAGCTCCTCAGTAGCCGACGCCAGTGTGTCACGTGTTCACAGCACTGGTCAGCTGTGAGCAAACCTTGACAAACAACTCCTGAGGGACACTTCCTGCTGCATTTAATGAGAATTAAACCCCTGACCTTTTCACCCAACCCACCTAAATTTTGCCAATTTATATCAGATGGGTCATGGAGCTTTTCCTAATGTAGTAAATAAAAACACAACTTTGCTTTCATTATGCTCACTCCATCACGGTATTTACCCTTCCCGTCTTATTACCAGTGATCCCAGCACCTAAAGGCAAATCTTTTTTCTTTTTTAAACTGTGAACACTTTGGTTTCCTGCTTTGTTCCTCCCCAGTCCTTCCTTCGAGGCAGACAACCCTGTCCTGCCAAGGAGGCTGTTACTTCCCTGACGATTTCAGTGGCGGCTCAGCGTGGGTTCACGTGTGAGCGCCGCAGCTAGGTTATACCCGTAACAGTGGAGGCAGAGGCAGCCTGAATCCCCCGTCCCCCGCTGCTGGCACTTCACGCCTGTGCGTCGCTACGCGCAGAGCCTGCCTGAGCTCTCGTCTCTACCTACAGCTGTCCCTGTCGAGGGAGGCTGCTGTGTAGAGAACAAGCAAGAAGCAGGCGTTTTGGGAGGAAACCACATCGTGCCAGCATTGCCCTTCTAAAACTGGGATGGTAGCGGGTAAGGCTGTGAGGCAGCTCGTCTAGATGCCTTTTTGGGCTGTGTAATGAGTGTGACCCTCCTAGAAAAAGCATGCTAATTAGCACTGTTCCAATAAGTGTATCTGCATGGCTGTATAGTCCCTGCCTTCCTTAAGGATTAATCGTGACACTGTAAACCCTCACTTTTTTGTTTTGCCTTTGCCATCAGAGAGCTATGCATGGGGTAGGGGACAAAAATAAAACTCACTTTCTCCATAAAAGCACTTTATTTAGTGGTCATGTTTCAGTGTATATCACTTGTCGTTTAGTTGTACTAAAATATGGTGTTAGAAATAGTCTAAGAAATGCACAGAGCTATCACGAAAACCTGAAGTTCGGTTTAGATTGCATATAGGAAAAGCAGAGAAAGAAAAAAAAAAATCACAATATTTTCTTCCTTTGATAAAATTACAAAATATAAACAGATAAACTGAACGTATTAATTGATTTTAAATAAAAGTCACAGTGGACTATTTACAGTGAAACACCCTTAAAACGAATCGCTATTTTCTGCTCCGTATGTAATGAGTGTGTATGCCTGTGTAAGAGTATCCCCACCCCCATCTTCTCCGTGCCGTCCCCTCCTGCCCTCGCCCAGGAGCAGCTCCCCGGATGGGCTGCTGGGCTCTTGGGCCACCCTCGGCACATCTCGACGGGAAAGCTTCTCACTAATGACACAGCTACAAGGAGAGGGCCGTCAGCAGGCCCGCGACGACGCTCCGTTGGCTGGAGGTGCTCTGGACGTAGAACGCAGCCGCCTGAGAACAAATTTTAGCCCGCAGAAAACAGAGGGCTGGCTGAAAGCTTCTACTTCCACTGGTTTTGAGAGATGTTTGTCCTTTCAGGAGAGGTCTCTGACCTTTGCAGAAGGCTGAAAGCCCTCCTGACTTTTCCCTCTGTCAGAAGTGTCGTGAGGCAGTACAAGTTCCCCTTCAGATGCCTTTTAGCACAGTTTTCATTTCTGCTTATCTTCCTGCAGCTCAGACAAGATGCAAACCTAAGCTGAGCCTGACTCGCGGAGGAAAACGGGAGCCATGTTCATGAGAAGCAACTCCCGTCGCTCCCCTGCCCGGTCAATCCTGCAGCCTTCCCCAGGTCAGGTTTTCAAACGGGGGCTTTGAGCTCCTGCTTTTTCTTGGAAAACAGGCCTTCAGGAAGGGAGGAGCCCTTTTGGTTTGGCTGTTCCCTTCCTGAGCCTCTCGCCCTTGGGCTGCATCACCCAACCTGTGCGGCAGAACTGCCTCCCTGCGTCTTGGAAGCCTGCTGACAGCTGCGGCAGACTCCACTCCTGGCCCCACCAGGCCAGCCTTGGCGTCAGCGTGGCTGAAGCTGGACTTCGGAAGCACACAAGAAGCAAAAAGCCGACTAGATGCCAGAGCGGCCTGCAAGGGTTCTGCATTCCCAGCAGGTGAGCCTAGTGCGTAACACAGCGCAATCCCGCCCAGCGAACAAAAACCCCTTCTGGGTCATCTTCGGAGCACACGGGTATTCCCATCTTAATTTAGCACCTTGCTTCTGCCAGTCCCTGCTGCTGAGTCTGAAACGGGAAGCTGAGCACAGCGCCCCACTGCGCCGTCTCCTCTGCCGGGGGACGGTCTGCCCAGCTACAAGGCAGCACCCACCCGGTCTTGCTTCCGGATTGCAGCACCGTTTCTCCCCAACGCGGCTTTACCGTCAGCTACTTCCCAGGCTGAAATACCTGCCTGCTCACCGCAAAAGCCACTCAGCTGGGGCGTCTTCCACAGCCCAGTTCCAAGTCCAGAAGCAGCAGCTGCTCTGTCTCACCCTACCAAGTTACCCCAGTTGGCAGCAAAGGACGAAACAAACACGAAAGATGCGGAATGACTTGGGAACCAGCGGCGCCTGAAGACTCCTGGTGCCCAGAGCAGTCCATTTCCTTCACCTCCTCTGCACAACAGGCTGAGGAATTCCCGTCTTGGAGGGGCGTTGTGGGGACTGGCTGCTGAATGTTTTGAACAACGGGAGCGTGACAGAGCCACTCGTAGCGCAAACTGAACACCTTGTGTGCTCTCTCGTGCTGCCACTGAGGAGGATCACTGCTCTTCCAGCAGACACCTGTTTTTGTTTGGCTCTTAATGAGACCGCCACCCTCAGAGCCCTTTGGCAATACGACCATGATTGCACGTGAAAACAAACTCATCAAAAAAGTGTAAATGAGGTCATGTTTAACCCATGAGACCACACCTTCCCCCCTCCCCCCCTCTGCCAGAGAACAGGCTACACCTGATCTGTCTGGTACTCGGAGGCTTCTGATAAACTTTCAGAAAAGCTCAGAAAGTTTTCCTGGTACTCAGAGCAAATGATCTCAAATCTGTAGTGCCTGAACTCCACTGCAAAGGTGCTGAAGTAGCAGAGGAAGCACATCACCAGGCCCCACTGGATCCTGGAAGCATGCGTGTGGATTCCCTGTGCCATGAGGATGAAATCTGGAAAAGGAAAGTCAAGGAGAACTAGTGGAAGCAGAAACACCGACTAGGATGAGATAACAGGGAAGACAATAAAATCTTAATCAAGTCACCCAGATGACAGTCAACCCAGCCAGCCTGTTCAGGAGACTGTGAACGTGGTGCCAGAGACAGAAGGGATGTCAATTAATGCCCGTGGAGAACTGCAGCTCTCCTGTATGGACCAGCGCTTCCTAATCCCAGCTCAGGCTGATAAACATTTACAGGGGGAAAGACTTCAGCGCAGGGAAGTCAAGGACTTGCTTGAACACCCAACTAGCCAGTGACAGAGCCAGCAGGCTGGGGATCTGGTGGTGGGCCGCTACCTGCCAGGAGCCTCCCAGAGGGAACTGGATCAGTTCTCTGCACCGCAGGCACTGGGAACAAGCCACTTGCAAAATCATCCCTTCTGTGAAATCCAGAAGCATCAGTCTATACAGCGTGGCATGTTATACTGAAAGGAAAAAGAATGCTCTCAGAGCCAGAAACTGCCCTCCAGGCTCACACACCCGTGTGCTTGGACCACGTACTGCCTGGCATCAGGGTCTCACTGCTGTGCCGTGGGTTGTGCTGGAGTACTCCGTAAGAGCAATCTGCAGCTCCCCTAAAGCAGAGGACACCTTTCTGAGGTGGGGACCTGCCCTAGCCCGCTGCACATCTCCTCTAGACCTACTGGCTCTCCTGTCTCTCAGGATTTCCTCTCCACGCCAAGCATGCGGGATCACACATCCTCACAGGTCAAACAAACAAACAAGCAGCTTCTTCCAGCTTTACCTGTTTTGTGCAGTTAATCGGAGACTTTTCATCTTGGGCTTAGTGTAAGCATCCAGAACTTCAGCAAACAGCGTTCTGTGTCTGGCTTGAAGGATCTTCTACTTCCCCTCTGGTGCAAGGGTTCTGCACAAGCTGCACGGGATGGAGAGCCAGCCCCAAGTCTTTGCAAAGCCAGCGTGGGGTAGGGGGCATGGAACTTCTGTCTCAGCCTGCCCCCCTCCTCAGAGGGCCCAAGGCCCTCCTCGCTGCCGAGCAGCTGGCTGGGGAGGGCTGGGCTGGGAGCACTCAGCATGTCGGCACAGGAGCAGCTACGCCCCACCTCACCTGGCTGCTCCTGCTCCCGCTCCCAGCCTGCACCGGGAGCCTAGCCCAGCTCCTGGCATGCAGCCCTACGCCAGGCACACCCTGCGGGAGCTACGGGCTTGGAGCAAGGGGAGGAGCGGAGCACCACACGAACCAGGCAAACACCTGAAGCATGATGCTCAGCTCCAAATTTTTCCAAGGATGCTGAAAAGTTCACAACAAAGAACAAAAGTTCATCTTCGGCTATTCCTCTGGACACTGGCTGAAGTGTCCAAAACCAGCCAAGTGACTAAGGAATTGTTTTAAGAACAGGCTCTTTCCTGAAGAGGGGGATTAGCTTATTCCTTGCCATTTATTCCTGCCCCCTCGTTTATCCCAGCACTAACGCTGGTGCAAGCCCGCAGTGAATGGACCCACCCTAACCAAACACCCAGGGCACGAGTGCTGGTGGGAACAGAAGGGCTGGAGTGGGGCTGACAGGCACAAGGGGAAGAGGCAGCCCGTCCTCTTCCAGAGGAGTACATCCAGCCTGAGTGACAACAGACCCACAGCGCATATCCCGTTTGTAAAGCACCTAGTCTTACCCAAAGTCCACGTGACCCAGCAGCTCTTGACTGTGGTAAGTGTCTTAAAAGGCAGAGCTGGATGTAGCACCCTGGAGCATTTCGATAAACACATCAAAATCTTCTCATCTCCAGAAACCTGATTTCTTCCCCTCTTCTGAGAATGTGTATCTCGATATTTAACATAAAATCTACTGTGTGGGTAAGCAGTGGTGCCATTAAATGGTACAGATACTACTCAGTATTGTAAACAGTCTGGATGTCACTGAGAAGCTTTAGAAGCATTTCTGAAGGAAGTGAAGCAGTGCATCCTGGCAAAACACCCGGATGTCACTGAGAAGCTGTAGAAGCATTTCTGAAGGAAGTGAGCCCATCTGTGAAGCAGTGCATCCTGGCAAAACACAAGCAGCAAAATGAGCCAGTCATAGGATCATGACAGGAAGACAAGCTAAGTAGCATTCCTAAATGATTTGAGATCCTAGGACGGATGTGAGGAGAGCCAGTGTTCCCTGCTGCAGAGAGTATCAGACATGTAGGACCGCTGGCTTGCCAGGGAGCAGGACAAAAGGATACAGAGCACCACGCAGAGAGTGATGCTGGCCGACAGGGCAACTCGTGGAATTCCAACTTTCCGTCCCTCATTCTTCAGGTTGATCCTGAGGGTGAGGGCAGACTGGATCCAGCAAGCCAAGATCCCAAAGCCAAAGGTCAGCGATGTGCCTACGTTGTGGATCTCCTCATCGTTGGAAAGCTAGGAACAAACAAAATGGTGATTGTTTGGACGCAACCGGAATTACCTGCTAACTACCTTGGATTGCTGCTGGGTGGGACAGAGGAGAGTGGGAATCCCTGGGGTGTGAGGCAGACGCTGCGTCATTTCTTCTGGCAGAGGCCTAAGGTGTAACATAACCAAGATGAACTGACCGATGTCACAGTCAAGCATATTCTGCCCAAAGCCCAAGCACAGTGAAAAATGAAGTTGCTTGAGGACTGCCTCCAGAGTTCCATGACAAGACTCATCAATGCAGAGCTCAGAAATAAATCCTTCCCTGTCTTGATGTGATGGCCAGGGCAGGCAAGGACAACCCGATGGGGTCTTGTACAGCTCCCTGCAAACGGTGCATCCTTCAGTGCCGGCTGCCTGGAGCGCTGCTGCCTGAGGCAGAGGGTAGCCACGACTCTGACACCTCTGCTGAGCTAGCACAAGCCAAACCACAGACACACGCAAGACACTTGCAAGGTTTGGCAAGTTTTTCCCACCAAAAACCTTGACTGCCTGTTCCCTCTCCTGCTCATCCTCGACCACTGGAGTCTGAGGCAGTATAAACCCAACCTCTCTGAAGCAAAGTGCTTCTCTGTTCCTTCAGCTCCCGTGTCTCACAGGGCTCAGGGACTGCGCAGTACTGCAAGACAAAAGGACAGCCAGGTTCAGTAAGCCAGAATCTGCAAAGAGATCCCTTGAGGCTGCAAATCCATTCAGAAAGCCCAGCATGGGCAAGACTTAAGCCAAACAATTTCCCTTTTCCCTCTGCCTCTGAGCCTTTTCTAGAAGAGAAACCAGCAGTCTAATTCCTCCCTGCAGCCTTGATTCCTGTTCAGTGCTTTAACAAATTCAAGATGCACTCTACAAGGCAACAGTCTAGTTACTGTGCCTCCACTGATCTCTCCCTTCTCCTCCCTACCCTGAATTTTTCTTCAAGGGTAGCTCCGAATCATCGTACAGGCAAAAAAGGGATTGAGTTGCCTTTCCCAAGGTGGCCTGCACTACCAGGGACTCCGAGCCATAACGTCCTGCTAACACACCCAGTCTGCAATTCTCCAGAAATACCATTTAATGCCACGTTCAGCCTAGCAGTCAGGCAGGGAAAAGCATGGAGTAAGGTCTCATTACCACATGCTTTCATGGTTTGGCAAAAAAGCTAAGCAAGGGATACAGGTAACTACCATGGAGTAGATAATTAGTTCAGAATTTATAACCAGGCTTGATTGAAAGTATCCACTTTTAAATAACAGTCATTCGCTCTGAAAAAAAAATGACAGGTTGAAACTGCTTTCTAATGCCTGCCCTGTACTAGAAACAGTCTTCTCGTGCCTAAACAAGGCTGTTGTTACAAAAGCCTCAGAGTTCCTAGCTGGGAAGCTCCTGTGAAAAAACAAGACTCCAAGTTTTTGGCTTGTGCTGTGGAGTTAGGAAAACCAGGTCCAACACAGTCAAATGATCTCACACCTCATTCCAAAAAAAAAGACAACTGTAAAGGACACAAAGTTCCTGCAACTGCTCGACAACCCAAACAGGTACTCACCCTTCATAAAACCAGTCCCTTTCCTGTACTGGCAGGAAAAACAGCTCCCTGCCCACAAGCTCAGGAAAGAAGGCAGCCTACACTGACCTATCTCCGTTTCTGCCATTACTGGGGGTCATTACTTGTACCCCAGTGAGAGGTAGTGCATCAGAGACAGCAAAGCGATGGAGAAACCCAAGTGCCGCTGAGTCTATTGCCGTGATTTTCACTGCACACCTCACAGACACACTCGTGATTACGGGGGACACCCAACCCTACAGAGCAATGCTGTGGCACTGACAGCTTGTTCATTTGTTTGTATAACGTTGCAGAACAGATTGAGAATCAGAGAGGCCTCATCTCGGCACCCATCACATGAGAAGTCGTAGCGCTCCTCTGCTGTGTCCTTCTCGGAGCCAGTCTGGGGACAGGCAGGAGGTAGATTCAAACAACATGTTTTAAGTGAAGGACGCTGAACTGTCTGCTAAATCTGCATGGGCAGCTGTGCATCCTGTTCACACAGATGCGTACGTAAACTTTCAGCTTGATCCTTTTACCCAGCACCATCTCTGCCAACCCCCAGGGATCAAGGGATTCAATAGGTTCCCTGCTCTGCCTCTCGGCAGGTTAAATTTAACCATACAGGTGCAAATCCTGCTGGGAATACATGAAGAATTATTGTGGCTTTTCATCTGAGTGTGTGGCTGGAGCCATGTAGGTGGCAGATAGAGGTGGCAGAGCAGGTACCAGGAGGGCTGGGGCACAGCCAGACATGTTACCCTCTGAGCTGGCATCACAGGGAGTTCAAAGAACTCGGCAAATACGCTAGAAAAGCAGGAACCTCACAGCACAGAGACGGTGGTCCAAGCCTAGAGTGCAGTACCTGAAAGTTGCCAAGTAGGGTCATCCCAAAAGAGGCCAAGCATAATGCCACCAGGCCGCTGATGTTCAGCCAAGGGTTCAGCACCTTTGGCTTCAGCTGAATGAAGCGCAGGACAGCCACGACAAGCGCTGAGAAGGAAACGGAAAGCAAGGTGTGTCATTAGGTAGAACATGCTGCAGTAACCAGCTGGCTGGGGGCTCACAGACCCCTCACCCTCTTGCTACCCAGAGGGGAGAACTCACTGCAGGCCAGCTTCTGCATGGCCCACTCCCACTTAGCCATGGATGAGACTAAGCACAGGAAACATTTCTCTTGTGATCCAGTTACGCTGAGCTCCTAACATTTCCTTTCCTCATGATGTTTTGTCTCGGGGCTGGGTTGCAAATTTTCTGAGGGAAAGAAGAGCACCTTCCTGCTTGCCTGTGAAGCTCCCAGCACAGTCTCACATACACACTGCGCGTTCACATCGCAGCAGCTGGGCTTGCATCAAGTCGCACTCCACTCACAAGCACTGAGCTCTCTTGGCAGAGCTGTGTCAAATTCCAGCATTAGAACATGTGTGAACGGTACATACATATCTCTGTAGGTTTTACCATAATCCCCACTGCTTCCTCTTTTCCTCTTGTTCAGGTTGCTGGTGCCACAAACACGAGCCAAAATACCGCACTCATTTTCTGCAAAGACTGAAAAGCAGTCCTTCCAAGCTTACAGTTAGCCCAAGCGCTGTGATATGATATATGATATGACATAACTCCAGGAGATATTCACATTCTATATTCTTGCCCTCCCTAGAGAATGCTGCATGGATCAACACAGAAAGCCAGGCAATCAGCTGGCATTCCGATGGGATTCAAACAGCAATGTGAAGTGAACAAGGAAATATTGCTAGTTGCTGCTGAACACCTTCTTATGCTTATGCCAAACTGTATGGTCATATTGTTGTAAATTGTCTGTGATCTCAGATCAGTATTTTCCACAAAAACCCTGGTATAATACCAAAACCATGGTGTAGAAAAATAAGGGCACAATAAATGAATATCCATTTTTATCCAAACTGAAAAAGATCTTTGAATTTACTCTCTCACAATTCGCTCTAGTGCATCAATCCACTCCAAGTCCTTGAGAACAAGAGAACTTTGTTCCCCCAAAAAAGAGAATTTCTGTTTTTCATCCCCAGGTGATTGTTTGGGACAGACACCCTGTGACTCCTTGAATTCACAGGCAGGAACTTTTTCATTTCTATTTCTACAACAGGATCCTGAAATTGTGTGATCTTTTCCTAAAACACTGAAGGGAATGACAAAGACAACTAAAAGGTCACCTTACAGCATTACGTGCAAAACAACAGCATTTTCAATATTCAGTAATGCCTGTGTTTCTAGCAGGTTTCTGTAGTTTTCCTCTCTACAGGAAAGGCTTTGACACAACAAAGGTGACCAGAGGTGCAAGCCACAAGCAGCTCTCAGAAGCACCCAGTACAGCAGGGGAAAGCTTGGCAGAGAGATCATAGAATCACAGAATGGTTTGGGTTGGAAGGGACCTTTAAAGGTCATCTAGTCCAACCCCCTGCCATGGGCAGGGACACCTTCCACTAGACCAGGTTGCTCCAAGCCTCATCCAGCCTGGCCTTGGACACTTCCAAGGATGGGGCACCCACAGCTTCTCTGGGCAACCTGTGCCGGTGTTTCACCACCCTCAAAGTAAAAAATTTCTTCCTAATATTCTAGTGTAAAGTCTTTTAGCTTAAAACCATTATCCCTTGTCCTGTCACTACAGGCCCTATTAAAAAAGTTTGCCCCCATCATACTTATAGGCCCCCTTTAAGTACTGAAAAGCTGCTCTAAGGTCTTGGCTTACCTGAGGCAGCTGAATAGGCAGGCAGGTGTTAGCTACTGCCAAACAGCCACATTAACTTCAGAAGTAGCATGCTATGCACACGTTGTGTTGAGTGGTTTGGGGGTCAGAAGTTTAAATCGTATCATCATCACATTGCACTGGGCGTCAAGCATATAAATAAAATGTGTGCCAGACCCTGACTGAGCAAAATGGGAGGCAGAATTATTTCTACTAATAGAGACGCTGGCTCAATATGTAAATCACTGTCTAAACTTGAAACGAAGTGTAAGGATGCCTAAACTCCAGCTTGAAGTGATACTAGAAAATAAGGAAGTTGGTGTTTTAGTAATGGCATTTAGGAAGGACTGAGGACTTCAGCATCAATGATATTTTGTATAATCAGTTGCTGCATTTGCCAATATTCCCATGCAATTATCTCACGTTCACAGCATATAACAAAAACCCACCATACTATGAAAAAGAGTCACATAGATTGAAGGCTAAGACGAGACAAATAAAAACAGGAGACTAAATCAGAAACCCACAAAGTTCAAGCGCATCCAGCTTCATTCTGTCTTTCTACAAATGAAGACAAAACAAGACTGTCTTAATCAGTAGTCCTTTAAATTATTTCCTGTCATCAGATTCAAGAACAACATGCATGGGGTATTACTTATGCTTCAATGACTTCTTAAAACACATTATGAGAGAGGAAGAAACATTTCTCTTGTGGTTCCTACCTAGAAAGGCCGCCATGTTCATGACTTGGCTAAACACACAGCTTGCAGGAGGTGTGTCACCTGCAATACTTGGAAAATACAAGGTGTATCATTGCAACTCTAGGATGGCAAAGACACATAAATAACAACCATTAATCAGAACCGTAATTGGAAGAAAATCGTTCACTTACCTTATATAAGGTGGTCTCTTGGAACCAGGTTTCCTGAGAGACATAAATGCATAGGAACAAAGATTCAAGGTTTTCTTTCCCATTTAGCTTTCATTGTTTTATTATTGTAAAGAAACACGTGATTGAGCATAAAGCCCACAGCCAGCTCTTACCGATCTGGTACATTTAGTGGACGAATTTTGTTATCTTCCACTGCTATGAAGTACCTGTTAAAAAAAAAAAAAATAATCATGGCTTATCCTGGCTTGAATTCCAAATATCCCTCAAGCAACACATTGTCTGAAAGCCCACTGGCAGGATCTGCTGGAGGCAGCCTGTGTTTCTTTCTGCTCAAGCAGGCAGTTTTAGTCACTTCCCAGGCTAACTACGAGCTGCCCTTTGTGTTGCATCTGGTTTGCATCGTCAGGTACACAAACAGGGTCACTGAACTGAGCTGCCTTAGACACAGCCAACCAGAGGAACGTTCTCATTTTTAATCTGAATCATTTGATTCATCTGCTTTACCATGGTCCCACTTCTGCAAAAGCTGGGTTAATCCAAACAGAGGGAGTTGGCTAAGAAAACACCAAGCAACAGGGCTCAAACGAACGGCTTAAGCTGACCCTGCTGCTGAAAACCAACATCCACAGACCACGGCCAAAGCCATATCCTACAATACAACTGCTTCTCAGGCTATAACTGCTGATCTCACATTTACTGCTCCCAAATTCATTCTGCAGTCATCTGCCTGCACGCCTGGAGAGAGCACAGCTCAGGGAGATGCACTTTGGTAAGATGTGTTAGTGAGAAAGTGAGGCGTCAGCATTCAGCCCCTGGCAGGCTGTCAGTGCGGTGCGGGATGCTGCGGATTCTGAGTCCGTGCCCCAAAGCAGGGCTTAAGTGCTTCTCCAAGGGCTCTGCTGAGTCATTCCAAGAAAACATGATGAAAGGGAATTTTTGCATCTTTGTCTCTTTTTCAGGCAGCTACCAGTAGTAACACGTGCCAGGAAGAAGGCAAGGTCAGAAACTTGGCCTGGGGAGCACAGGAATTCAGGGATAAAAACGTGATCCTGCAAGCCATGACTGGCCCCTGCCCCTATCATGTGCCTTCCCAGCCCCACCGTACTCAAGGACAGAGCATCCTCAAAAGACTCTCCACGCTGAGATGCAGCCCACGGCAGTACTTCCAGCTGCTCCAGCCCAGCTCGCAGGGGATAACTTACACTATCCATAATCCAGCTGATGTAAACAGGGTAAACACAAGAGGTAAGAACATCCACATGCTGCATTTCTTCCCATCCATACCTGCTAGAAACAAAAAACAAAGTAAAAGAGAGCAGCGGTACCCACCCACCTCAGCCCTGCTCTTCTGAAAGCCGGAAGAGCAGGCACCCGGCAGATGCCGACGCATCCCAAGATCAAGCACCGAACGGCCAGGCCGTAAGCGCTGCGAACATCTCCGACTGTCATTACCTGCGTAAGGGCTGCACACCGGCAGCAGCATCCGTGCTCTGCATAAAACCAAGGCACAGAGAACCTGGTGGTGTGAGGGTTGACACTTTTCAGACACACCTACAGAACTTGAGCAGTTTTCAAAGTATTTTCCTTAACTCTTTTGCGCAAGGTGACACCGCAAGACCCACAGCCCTAATTCCCTGCTACTTCCCATGGGCACAAGGCAAGGCAGCCTCCCTCCCAGGTTCATTACCAATTCCACACGTGCTGCCTCAGCAAAGCCTGCGGCACCGAAGGAGAGGGATGCACGTGCTGTCTCCTCATCTCCACAAAGCATACCCCCAGCTCCCATCCTGGCTGCAGCAAGCGGCTAAAAATAGTGTCCGGCCGCACCCAGCGCGGAGGCAAGCCGGAGCGCCAGCACCCAGAGCAGAGTACTGTCAGGATGAGACGTTACAAACAGCAGCAGCTCAGAAGGTAGAGGCACGATGAAGTCCTGCACAGGGCGTGAGGATGCTGCCTGTACCATCTCCTGAGGAAGCATTTGTCTTCCAGGCAAGATCACGCTGGATGAGCATCTGAGATGGTGGGGCTGTTCCTGTCACATGTGCGAGTCAGAAATGCCCCTACAGAAGTCCCGTGTCCCCCTGCGAGTCCGGCGCTTGCTTTACTTTCACCGGGGCCGCAGCACCTACACCCCTGTCTCTGCCTCCTCCTCCCTCCTGTAGCCTGGTGCAGGGCAAGTATTTCCTGGGGTCACCAAGGCTCCCATGGGCCAGTGAGGCACCCTGGGGTGCCAGGGCAGCTCGGACATGACGGCCTTTGCTAGACCCTACTTGTATTTGCAGCTCAGTTATCCCATCCAGGTCCTTACAGCAATGACTCCTCTTGGCTCCAGAGAAGAAAGTGCCCACGTAGTCATTCTCATCCTCCCAGCTTCCCTGCCCTTCTACATCTGCAGCAGAGGAGCCGTGGTCTCCCTGGGCTGCTGCCCGGCTCTCTCACCCCTGTGAGGACCCACAGAAGACAGCAAGCACCCGCACTGTTGACAGCCAGCCCCCAGCTCACCACTCCCACCAGACAGCCCCAAACAGCAAAGGCAAAGACACTGCTCGGGGCCCCCCCAGCCACCAACTCCCACTGCATCCCACAGCGGCAGAGGCTGAAGGTGTCGAGGGAAGGCTCCCCAGGCCCTGCAGGAGAAATGGCAGCCTCAGGCTTGCCCCTGCAGGTCAGCTGTCCCGTCCTCCCTACGCATCACCCGGCAGGAGTGCAAAACAACACCCGTGCAGTACCCCGAGCCACACCACACGCGCAAAACCATGAGGCCATGATTGGGTGCTGCCTGCGCAGACAGCCTGGAGTGAGACTGAACTGCAAGCCTTAAAAGACAGAAAAGCCATCAGATATGAGACCCGGGAGTAGAGAGAACTGCAGACAGGGAGCATGAGATGCGAGTATCAAGCACGTCAATGTAAAAGGCAGTCTGCTCCAGTGTGCATACAGATCTTCAACGTGGTGTAACAGATCAAAAGAATTATCAATGAGGATGCACTACATTTCCTCACCCATCTCATCTCTACTCCTCTCCTCCCGCACAGGAGGCAGAAAACATTTCACAGCTCTGTTCCCTGCCCAGCCGCTGCCGCAGCAGCTGCAACCACGCTGCCAAGCACTGCCCTTGCCTTTGCCTCTGGACGCCCATCAACGTGCGGCGGCATCCCTCACCGGGTGCCGGCCGTCGCTGGGTCCCAGGAGACACGGACTGGCCCTGGCAAGGACCGCTTCCGGGTGGCAGGTGCCTCACCTGCGGCAGGGCTGCATCTCTGCCGAGCCCGGCAGCATCGCGCTGAAGTGCCGGCGCCTTGCGTGAGGGAGTCACAGCG